GCAGGCAGCACTAAGTAGATGGAGAACCCTCCCTTACAACTGCCCAAGCTCCATGGTGTTTTATTTAAGCTACAGAAGAAATTCAAAATGAGCTTGGAGTGTTAAACCCTCAATGCCCCAAGTCAGGATTGTCCCACTTCTAGAGGTGCCATGTGCTCTGAGCGAGGTCCTGCCAGGGGCTGAGGGAAAGGAGAGCTCCCAGGGTAGCAGTGAATGGCTCCCAAATAGTTTTATTCTGAATGGAAATGCATTCAGCAAAAGCATTTCTAAACATTTTATTCTCTGGCTCGATGGTGCAGGCAGGAATTCAGAGCTGCGTTGCTCTCCGACAACTAATCTGATATTTCTGTTACCTGAACAGCTGAGGGCTCCATCACTTCTACCCAATACGTTCTCCAGAGAGTTATGGTGCTCCTGGCATCTCTATTCCTCTTGTTCTCCGAATTGCAAATCCCAAGCCTCATACCCTGCCCTGTTATGATCTGGAATCCCGTGATCTTGCCACTTTCAGGGGTGGCGTTGCATGTGAAGCAGTCTCACTCTGCAAACTGTCTCCCAGTGTGAATTGTTGCCTTCACATTGAACCCCAATACAATTTGTGGGAAGATCCCTAGTTTGTGTCCTTAATCGCCACTGATTCCCCACCCTTTTGTCAGCACGCTCATCCACCATTAGAATAATTGGTGAGAATTATAGGGCTTTCCTGTTCCCCTGAGAAAAAAAGATATTATTGAAAATCAGCATCTTAAAAGAACCACTAAGGAACCAGTTCAATACTCCAAGCAGGGCTGCTGGAGCGACAACCTTGTTATTTCAGGTCTTGGTATATCAGAGTGACGCCCTTGTTTTATCAAGTACAAAGATGCGTTGGCCTGTGCAAGAAGGCTGAGCACAAAGAAACAATTTAGAGGCCTGTGCATCCCAGAAGAGCATCATACAATAAAGAAAAATATTGGATTTCTTTGGTTTTTAGTTCAGTTCGGAGCCATTGGGAGCACAGTACACCTTGTATCTGAAGCCCCTCAATGGAAGATACTGTGATAGTTAATACTCTGTTATCTAGAATGGGGTGTTTTGCTTTTCCTACGAGTGTGTGGGAATTTGTTTGCTCCTGAATGACAGACCCACTCCCAGGGACCTGGCTGTTTTGCAAATTCTATAAGCTTTATACTGCAGAACCTTCAGCGCAGGGCAGTAGACGGCTCCCACCTGCCACTCTGCTCCTAGGGAGCTGGCTGCAGCCCTGTGTTGCTGACTAAGGGAGCCAGTGCATGCTGGAAATGAGCTTTTAAGCTGGCTCCCAGCCCCACTCCTAGGGAGCCGAATGCCGTCCCCCAATGTGGACTCGATCCAGCCCCAATGGAGCGGGCATGTAACAGTTTCAGTATTCAATAAGCTTGTGCTTATTGGTTAACCATTGTACATCCCTGAGGGAGAGAACAAGAAATTACTGGCATCTGGGAAGCTGAGCTCCATTTCCATGATTGCTCGTCCATTTCACTTTGAAATCCACCTCCTGTAAACCCTCATCATGCCTGAATAACAGGTGCTGGGGTTATGTACCAGAGAGTGAGAGCTCAGGGGATGAATATTTCATATGCAGATCCCGGGGTATGTTACCACTCCGGGCTATGTCTAGACTGCAAGCCTCTTTCGGAAGATGCTTTTTCAAAAGATACTTTCGAGAAAGCCTCTTTTGAAAAAGAGTGTCTTGACTACAATCAGTACTTTTGAAAAAGCAAGCCGCTTTTTCGAAAGAGAGCCCCCAGGCAGTCTGGATGCTCTCTTTCGAAAAAGCTCAGTTTGCATTACATAGCGCCTTTTCTCGAAAGAGCACTTTCAAAAAAAGGCATTCTTCCTCATAAAACGAGGTTTTCTGCCGTCAAAAAAACGACTGTGTTCTTTCGATTTAGTTTCGAAAGAATGCGGCAGCAGTCTAGATGCAGGGGAAGCTTTTTCAATAAAAGGCCACTTTTTTTAAAAAAAACCTGTAGTCTAGACACACCGGCTACGTCTACATTGGCCCCCTATTACAGAATAGGGATGCAAATGTAGCACTTGGGAAGAGGCAAATGCATGGGGGATTTAAATATTCCCCGCGGCATTTGCATTTTCATGGCCGCCGCTTTTTTCCGGCTTGGAGATAAGCCGGAGAAAAGCATCCAGACTGGCGCGATCCTCCGGAATAAAGCCCTATTCCGGAGGATCTCTTATTCCTACTTGCAAGTAGCCACCCTGAGTACAGGCCAGAGACTGACAAAGCAGAACCTGAGGAGAACCAGTCAGCTCTTAACCCAGGGGCAGAGGTGCTACTGGACTTTGTTTGCTGACAAGAGACTCTGCCAACTTTTCAGGGTTTGGAGAAAGCCAGATGACACAGGGTACATTTGAAGTCCCACTGTAACCCGAGAAATCTCTGAAAGGAGATCGGACGGGAAAAGATGGATTGGTAAGTGAGTGCCCAAGTGGAGATGTTTGGAACCAGGGTGGGATGGCAGCCCCACCATCAGCTGC